TTGTTAAAAAAAAAAAAAAAAAAAAAAAAAAGTCTTCTCCATTTGAACATATTAAAAACGTACCTGCATGAAAGGTGAATAACTAAAATTAATAAACCAGTTCTATAGACTGCTACAACAAAAATATTTTATGATATATTCCCAATTATTACATTAATTCGTGGACTTATATATTTGTTGTTTATAATCGGTCTGATTTTATTTTATTTTATTTCTACTTTTGTTTTGTGCTTATATGGCAAAGATTCGCTGTTCATTTCATGTTTATTTTTTATAATTAGATGACAGTTGAGGTGATTTCATGTTTTAAAATTAATAAATTCGGTAATTCTCTACAGGCGAGGTTAATTGAACCTGAACTTTTTCTATTAGATAAATATTCTTGAATCAGCCAAATAACTCATTTATATATAATTCAATTATAGATTGATCAGTCTATACACGAATACACGGGAGGTTCACAAGCCTAATACGACGACTACTTGTGATTAATTTCTTGGTATAAATTGAATCTCGTGAATGATGGTGATGGAATTAGAGGCCCACCATTGATAAATATATTTTATATAATGTTCTATAATTGGTCACACCTAAGGTCGGATACGTCCTTAACATACAATCAAGTATAAATTGAAGGGAAAATTGTAGAACCGGTCCCTAACCTTTCACTTTTTCATAGGTTTTACTCTAACCTTCACGTCGGCACCGCCAGAGGTGCCTTATCTCACTTTCATCCATCAACCCTAAAAGAGTAATAATCAGTAAGTACTCAATTGAGCAATTAATAAGCAACAATGGCAAAGATGATAACCCTCAGCGTCAATCCCTAGGGTCAACCCATTGTACAGGATGTTTCGGGAAGAATGAGAGTAGAGTGGTGGTGGTGGCTGTTGAAGGCAGCAACGAGTGATGGTGGTGGACTAATTTTGGGGAACAAGAGTCAGGTGGTTGTGGACAAGATGTTTTGGGAAAGGAGAGTCGGGCGGTGGTGGATGTTGTAGGCAACGACAGGCGATGGTGGTGGACAAGGTTTTTTTTTTTAATTTAATTTAATTTTTTGGTTTTTTAATTTAATTTTTTAACTTATTTAAAAGAAAAATGCAAAACACCATTTTACCCTTTTTAATTTGGTCAACATTATTTAAATTGTTTAAATTATGGTCAACTAATGGCTACATGGATCAATTTGAACCCCAAGTGCATAATTTTGAAATGTTTGGGACCGTGAGTAGCACAAAGTTAAGATTAGGAAAAAATTGAAAAATTAGGGACCGCTGCTACAATTTTCCCTAAATTGAAATAAAGAAAGAAAAATGTGCTAGATTAACAGAAAGTTCAAAGCATCGCCATATAAATAGAAAAAAAATATTACGAGTTCGATTCCCCCTGCTTGACTGGCGTGATTTGTAAGCTATTGTGTCGACTCAATGGTTTATCCAATGTGCGCTCGAATGATAGCGACTACGAGTTCTCCCGTAAAAAAAAAAAAAAAAAAAAAAGGAATATTACGATCAACCAATATACAAGTCACTCGAAAGATAGCGATTGCGGGACTGATATTTTAAATATTAACAGTAAAGTCATGTGAATGCATGTCACTATCCAATGCTGGACTATCAGACATTCGAACATGGTAGGAACAATATTGCACGCCTTAATCATAGTCCATAGAATTTCAGAAACTATTTTTCTAGGGACATATGTATATATTGAATGATTAATAAAGACAGACGGGACGGGACGGCCAAGGTAGAATGACACGTGTCGGAATACTAATAGTGGCGAGGACCCAACCGGCCGGCATTCAATTCAAGGACAAACATGTGCCCTTAATTGTTTCAAGAAATCCCCCATGTTAGCCGCTGTTTCGATCCCATTTTCTTAAAAGTGGATTTTTGTAAAAAGTGAATTTTCAGAAAATGCTTGATTAAAAATTATAGAAAATATTCTTATTTACGTGCAAAAAGAATGTGCGATTGAAAATAATGAGGCTCAAAAGGGACTTATAGTTTAAAATTTATAAGGTTAGGTCACTTGAATAAAAACTTGACGCGATTAGTGGACCATTCTATCCAAAGAAACAAGGTTCAACACAATTAAAATACCGCATCAATTTTGCAAGACCGGAAAAATGTACCTTTGGTGTACCAATTTTCATGCCTACCATGAATAAATTTTGAAAAAATGAGGGTCAAACATAGGCTTAATCCAACCTTAATTCTAACTCTAGGTATTTTACAGACATATTGATTTGACATACTCAAGCACTAGTATTAACTCCACTCATCTTCTAGATTTGACATTGAAAGAACATGGACAAAAGGCTAGGATCAGATCTTGAACAATCTCAATAACTAACATCTTCAAATTTTTTCAGTTGAAATAGCCATTTAATAAATTAATTAATTTTTCATATCAATGGTCACTCACCATCAAATTTTCTCAATCACCTATCACGTGTATGCCATGTAGGACGACTGTCGCATTGAGCGAATTACCTACCATGTGTATGCCACATAGGACGACTGCCGCAGTGAGCAACTGTAAATAGCATAATTCTTTTCTTTATCACTTTCTACATTATTCAAGCATAGTGTTGTCTTTGCCTCCTATGAATATTACTTTTCTTCTTTGGTCATAATTTCAGCAGCTGCGCTTCTCTGTACCTCATTTACATGTGTTCCAAATTATGCAAAAAATGAAATCCAAATAGATTTAACTCGGTTGTTTGTGCACCGAATAAATTTTATAAGATATATTAGAAACGGAGGGTCGAAAGAGGCTTATCGCAAATTCCATCCTACCCAACTAAGCTCGAATAGTATAGGCTGGGTAAAACAGAAGCCTCCATTTTGTCTCACTAAGTTCAGTCCCAAGCTACTATGTATCAGTAAAAAACTAACCAATTCACAGATTTTAATCCAAACCAATCTTATCTCTAAAACCATTCAACTGCATCTGGAATCTAAAAATTACAAATGAGAATCTTGAGATTCCCTCAAATCAATTAGATTCTTGACCACCACAACTCACTACGTTAGTTTAGAGTCATTAGGCAATGACATAAAATCCTAATAAAATCACAGATAAAATCAAACTCAAAGAAACATATTCCACATATAATCACAAAAACTAAATATTTTAGTTCCTAACATTAAAATTGTTTAGTTGTGTTATAAACAAGTCATTCCAAGTATCTGTAAGTCCTGGTAAGCACCAATGCATGCAATCGTTGTGTTTTTTTCCACCGGCTGCAGATGGATGGGCATCAGCTCTGTACTCGCTCATCTGTGTTATATCCAATATTCGAAAAACAGAACCTTTCAATGCTTTATATAGGTGTTGATTCACAAGCCTGGCCTCCATATTTGTTCCATTACTTTTCAGGGAGAAAAGTTCCTCTACCTGAATACCGAGCCAAACGTAAAACCCAATCATTAAGTTACATGTTGCTTAAAAGAATAACATTCTCTTTTAATTTAGTTTTCGGATAAGATACTTTTTTCATACTTCAGATTATTTTGGAAGCAACTACAATTAAATAACTTATTTCGAATTATAAATCAATAAGAATATTAATTTAACTTACTTATTTTACTAGCAAGCAAACTATTTAAAGCTTAGTTGAGCATGCCAAAACCATTAATAATGCTCAGCGGTGGTGCGTGGATATTATTCCAATAAAGAGCTTACTTCTTGAGGAGCAAGAGGCTGTAAACGAGGACAGGAACCACCTTGGTCCCAATCGCCTCCTTCGAAATGTCTTGGAGATTGTGTTCGAAAAATTAAAATTGCAGTTGGTCGAGCCTTTTTCTCCACAAATGATATCTAGTTTGAAGATAAAAAGCATATTAGCTGGGTAAAAAGACTAACTTTTCAAATTGCAGATATGTCTCTAAACAGAAGGGAAAGAAGAACACGAGAAATTGTTGAACATCTATTCTGATTAGAAAACATACATTAAAAATTGTTGATCATCTATTCTGATTAAAAAACATACATTAAACAAGTACCACTCTTGGCAAAATCTGAATGGAACACAATATTAATATTCTCTATAGATTATTCAGCTAGGATCTATGCCGTATCTTATTGAAAAATATGAGAGAGAATAATGGGGTCATACCATGTGTGATAATACCATATCAAGGCCAACATGAGGTGGAACTGGAGGGATCACAGGTATACCCTTCTCGAAGAAAAGCATGGGTGATTTTACAGGGTCAAACTTTGAAGGAGCCCACCACCTAAAAACCAAAACAAAGAAGCTAAATAAACTGAAAAACTGTTCTATGTCTACACAGACATGCACAAAAATCCATTGAAAGTTGCTCTAAGAAATACAATGGGAATGCATGTCATTTGAAAATGCAACCATAGTTGGAAACATTTAGTAGATAATATTCAATTCGAGAAGTGTGATAGATCCTGACTTTCTGTGTAGAGATGGCAATTGGACAGGTCGGGGGTCCCTCGTCAGGGATTTTACCACCCCCGATCCCCGCTTAAGGGCAAGGCTGGGAAACCCATCACCCTGTTTATGATTTTTTTTTTTCTCCAGCAAAATTAATTTATATTGATTGCTTGTCACTGAACTTGGCTTTGGATTGGGTTAGTGCGTTAAAGCTTGGGGAAAAAGGGGGCAACCAATGCCCATTGAAAAAAATAAAAAAATCCGAAATGTTTTGTAATATAAGTGGACAATCGGCACAGGGCAGGGCAGGGATAGGATGGGATTCCTAGGGCCAGAAACCACCCTGCTGCCCTGAAAGGCTTGGGTTTGGCAGTTCAAATTGCCATCCCTATTTCTGTCAAAGGCATGAAAAGTCACTACATTGTAGGAAACGAAATTTGTGCATTACTTGCAAGAAGACATCATCAGCTAACAAGCTTCTTGAGCCACTCATGTTAGGGTCTTCGGAGCCATGAAGCTAATTTTAGCTACTGCATGACCGAAACAATCAGAGTTCTTGCAGTGCGGAACTTGGTTAGTTTGGAACTCTAGAAGTCAGAGGCTCTTTGAATGGAGTTTCCAAACAACCACAGAAAATATATCTTGCCATACAAAAAGGACAAATTTGCAAAAATCCAAACAAGATTCTTCAGCTTTAAGAGATTCTATCAGAATCTCAGTAAACAGGTTCATTCTACTGTCATGTTCTGATTCAACGTTCCCATTGCTCAAATTCAGAGCATCATGGAAAATTGCGAAATGTCACAACTAGGATCCATTCCACTTCCACAAAGCTATAAAAAGTAGCATCCTAAAATCAACATTGATAGCAGCCTATGTGACAGAAGATGAAAGTAAAATTACCAATGTCCTGTGTTGAAGATAAGAATATCATGGAAATTTGGAGCTTCTACCCATGTTTCTTCAGGTATATCAACATCCACTCTGTAACCCTCCTTATAACCTAGTGATTCCAGCACACCAGCAATGCTGCTAGCCGTCCACCTACAAAATATATAAGCAAATAATATTGGATCAAAATCTTACAAACATGCAGCAAGTTTACAAGATAAACCTACTCCAGGTCAAGTCATAAACACTAAGAAAGTTCAATAGAAAGATAAAATGATCGTAATGGGGTCAACATAAACTCAAATTCAAACCTCATGAAGGAACATAACAGAACACAATCAGATAATTGGTTCAAACTCAGATCAAGCAGCAAAAAGTTTATTAAAACCATACTACTGCAATCATGATGACTGGATACCACATCTTTGATTCTACTATTCAAATCTTTTAAAGAATGTATATAAAGTTAACCATTAACCATCTAAAGTCTAAAACAATGGTAATCAAATTCATAATCAAGGCAAAGGCCTCCATGGCTTACTAAGCACACAGGACGAACGGGAATAAGTCATAAACAATTACAATCTACATAATATGGCCTTAATTTTCAGTGATGTTTGACCAACAACTGGATTTCTCAAAATTTCAGATTTAGATACTATTTGACATAGAGAAATGCTAGGTAAATTGGTTTTGTTTACACTTTCCCTTTATTGTTCCTCCTGGAGGCCAAGGGAAGCCTAAAAGTTTTGTAATAAAATAGATTCAACAAATCTAAAGGATGAATAAAAGCAAGAAGGAAATTTATCACAACAACCAAAAGCCTTGTGTACATAAAAATCATTATCTAATGACAGCCCTAATGACCATTAATCGAGGAAAAATCTACTGCGTGCAATAATATCACCAATAGGAACATGTCAGGCCACTGCTGCCAAATGCCAACACCAACTTTGCAGGATAAATTGAGCAGTGACCTTAAATATTAAACAAACACATAAATACGTCAATGCACAAAGTTGACCACGTTATTAGAATGCTATCTTCTTCATCAAAACTCAAATGAAAAGTATTAGACTAACCTTACCTACCATAACGAGCAAGAAGATTTGTTCTATGATATGCAATTGTTACGTTGTACTTAATAAAAGTGAAGCCGCGGTCAGCTCCAACAGGACGCCACTTTTTCACCTAAATGGATACTCGTTTTAAAGCACAAAAAAGTGAAACAAACATGTTCCTGTTCAAAGAATCCCCAACAAACCCTGCACTGTTAAAAATCAATAAGGTCTACAAGTAGCACTGTAACACGAGTAATACACAAGAATATTCACGAAAATCCGAATCCCACACGTATATTATATTACAACAAGAATCAAAAGACGCTTAATGTAGAAGCTTGTAACTGCATCCAATTTTCCATCCATTATTGTCTTCTCCCACAAGAGAGAAACATAACCAAGTTACTGGATCCAGGATTCCAATTAAATATTAATCATTCCCAACCCCCCACCCCAAAAAATAAATAAAATAAAATAAAGGGACTCTTTAAAACTAAAATCAAGTGAAATCACCAGATACTTGAATAGGCTCGGGGAAGGAGGGTTCAAGTCTTAGGTGCTTTATCTTGCAAGCCTAGTTTGTCACCCTAACCGTTCTTCCCACACTGAGAAAGCTAGAAAAACAAACACTTGCACAGATTCTGTCTGCTGCATTGAGTTCCAAAACATGTTTCTACGGTTGGTATCTAGCTTTAGACTGGCCGAACTGTTATAGCCTTGTCATTTACCCATAAAGTTCTCGATTTTCTCAAATTCCAGAGCCCATTTCAAATAATGAAAATGGAAGAAACTTATCTCTATTTCTATTCAAACAGGTTTATTCTCATAAACCATAGCTTCAGTCTTCATAAATATACATCTCTTTTTTCCTGAGATTTCAAATAATGATTCCTAGCTGATGCACTTGAAAACAAGAAGCTTTTTGTTTCTATATTTTTCAAACCAAAGAAAGCTCAATTTCATTTATAAATACTTATTTATTAGAATACTCATCACTGTAATTCACTCTCGTTTGTGTGCAAAGCATTACTATTATATATTTTTCCTAATTTACAAGTAATAGAATCCACATATATAAGCTGCAAAATATACAGGGCAACAAATTTATAACAATTCAATTTACAAGTATTTACCAATATTGGTGTCTCTGAAGTCTTTAAGAAATTTAAGAGGATCGAACTGCGGGAGGTCACAGCCATCGGGTTTCCAGCGCCATTTGACAATAACTAGGGCGTTCGACTTGTTACTGCCAAGGCAATTCCACCCTTTGAAAATCTCCTTGCAGGTGTGATCGTATCGCAGCGACGATCTGACCGACGGCTCGTAGATCCAACGGCCATCCGTGTAATTGCATTTTTTATAGTTAATGCTCTTCGAGACTGCCGAGGGGTTTAGCAATGGCAATTGAACGTTGTCGGTTTTGAGGAGAGAGAAACAGATGAAAAGAGATGCGAGGCAGAGAAGAGCGAGAATGAGGCGAAAAGTGGACAGTGGAACAGCGTTGGAAGGCGGTTTCTTTGAGGAATGGTCTCTTGTTGCCATGGCGACTGAGGCAGAGAGGACCCGGCGGGCACCGTGGCGCGCTGGTTCAAAGCTGGGGTTTTTTTAATCATAGACCAGGATCACTTTAAATTAATTAATCTTAATCACACATTTTTATGAAAAAATTATCAATTTTTTAACCATTTCATCAAGTTTTTCATTATTTTCTCATTAAAATGAAAAGCACGATCCTTCGAATTTAAATTTCTGTCAATTTAAATTTATGTCTCTTGTATGACTCATAACGACTATATTTTTTATTCTCATTTTTCAAAAAATAAGAAATAAACGGGGGCTAAAAATTTAAATTCTAGCAAAATCAAATGTGAACTAATATTTCGTTTATTATTAGATCCTCATTTCTCATCATGTTTAATTAATTAATTCGATTAATACTAGTATTCATTTTTAAAATATGATTTTATTAATATAAAAATTAAATTAAATAATTCGACACAGATTTGAGGATTTGGTGTTGGGACATGAATGGTCCTGTCCCCGCCCACGCGGTCCCTATTTACTATTTAAGGCGAATTTTGCTAGTTTGGCCTAATTATTTTAACAGAATGGTTGACATATTCTCACATGCTGTGTGAGTCCTGCATGAATAAAGAAGTCTAAAAAAAAAGTGAATCTTGCCACTGTTAGTATCGATCAGATTGCATGTTAACTATTTTCAATCACTGTAACATGATTAATTTAAGACAGGGATTCCCTATCCCATTTGAGTAGGATAATGTCAAGTGAGTCGAGACCTAATCTTCACTGACATCTTCAATTCTGCTTCAAATCTTTCTTTAATTAATTTTGATACTTGGTGTTTTATCGACAATTTTCATTTTCACTCTAATGATCGAGAAAATTAATTTATTAACCACGCTAACCATTTGACACCACCATGCATCATAAAGCCATCTATTAACAATCATGTCACCTTCCAAGTAGCAAGGTTCCGTATGAGCTAAAACAATGTGTAAACAGTACTTGTAAGTCTTACTAAGGGCATATTTAATTCTCATTCTTTGACCACAAAAATAAAAAATATAACCGTTATCCATCACATCAAACGATCATATTTGACTTTCTATATCTTGTGCGGATTCCGTAACTACTATATTTTTCATTCTCATTCTTAGAAAAATGGATATCAAACGAACTCTAAATATGTTAATAAAAAGTGATTTGATCGATTATAAACAGTCTATTAACATTAGCCAAACATTGAAACTGATTGACATAGTGGGACAACTACTTGTCTTCCTAATGAATAGATCTTAAAGCGAGAAATTCAATTAACTAAGATTCGGGTAAAGAAAAAAATTATAATTTCATCCTTCATTGACTACAAGAAACTTACCAACACATAAACATGAAGTCAGATCAATTATATGAGAAAAATAAATAAATGAATACTAGTTCTCCAATAGTGAGGCTTGGACCACAAATAGAAATATGAGGATTCCAAGATATATATAATAATAAATTAGTTTTCTTTTACAATTATGAGGAAAAAAATACAGTTAATATGAACATTCCCTAGAGAATGGTCCATTTCACTTCCAATGCCTAATTTGGCATAATGGTATAATTCTGTGGATGCTTGCTTACAACCAACAAAGCTTTTAATCAACCAATTCTTCTGTCATAATGAAATATCAAATAAGGTGGTAACCCAATTTTATGAATATAATTTATCATTATAAAAACTAAAGATCCTTCTCAGCACCATCTTCACGAAGGATGCCCTCTCTCAGTGCGAAGGTTTGAGGTGAAAAACTTGGCAGGTCGACTCATAGGAATTCTTGGCTGCTGCCTGCTCGAATTTCTTGGCAGCAGATTCATTTTCATGGAAGCCGGTTCGAATGAAAAACCTTATCCACCAAGTTGAGCTCCTCCGTTTAGCCTATACAAGGCAAAAACCAGCATGTTTAGTAACTTTTTGTTTCCAAACGACACAACAAACTAAAGCCTCGTTCCGAGTAAATTTGTAGTTAGCATACTTTGTGATTCTAAACATGTTTAGATATTTTACTTCTTTCTTAACTTACATTACTGTCAAACTACGCTCATGTTTGTTCCCCATTATCTAAAAACTAATTTTTACCAAACTCATTTTCAAATTTCAACCACACATTCTCACAATAAAATCTTTTGCACATCAAAATTGTTTTCCTACTTTTTAACCAATCTCCAAATATTCAATAAAAACTAAAGATCCTTCTCAGCACCATCTTCACGAAGGATGCCCTCTCTCAGTGCGAAGGTTTGAGGTGAAAAACTTGGCAGGTCGACTCATAGGAATTCTTGGCTGCTGCCTGCTCGAATTTCTTGGCAGCAGATTCATTTTCATGGAAGCCGGTTCGAATGAAAAACCTTATCCACCAAGTTGAGCTCCTCCGTTTAGCCTATACAAGGCAAAAACCAGCATGTTTAGTAACTTTTTGTTTCCAAACGACACAACAAACTAAAGCCTCGTTCCGAGTAAATTTGTAGTTAGCATACTTTGTGATTCTAAACATGTTTAGATATTTTACTTCTTTCTTAACTTACATTACTGTCAAACTACGCTCATGTTTGTTCCCCATTATCTAAAAACTAATTTTTACCAAACTCATTTTCAAATTTCAACCATACATTCTCACAATAAAATCTTTTGCACATCAAAATTGTTTTCCTACTTTTTAACCAATCTCCAAATATTCACTATTACAAAACTCATTTTCAACAAAATGGGGCCCAAACATAGGCTAAGTAACTCATTTATTATTTTATAACTTACCTATTTACTTTATATGTAAAGTTAACTATTTAAGCTTAGCCAAACATACTCTAGCCACACAAAAGAAGAACTAGCTTCAGAAGCTAGGGCTAAATGAAAGCATTAGATGCTTATCAGCCCCCCCCCCAAAAAAAAAAAAAAAAGAAGTGAAATGTGAGAACAAATATGCTCAGATAAAAAAGGAAGGCTCGCCCACCATATATTTATTCTCACTATAGTTTTGGATGAAATGCAAGGCCATATTATGCATACGGGGGAAAGAACAAAAAGAAAGATTGACCACTTACTGGGCGTCCGAACTTTGATAGCTCGGCCACTTTAACTCTCTGCTGGCCTGGCTGACCTATATAAAGAGGAAGTTTAGTATAACTTCAAAGGAGCTACAGTACCAGTTAAACAATCATCAGAGAACAGAACCAGTATAAGAGATGTCTGTACCCTAACTAACAATGTAGTATCTTTTTTTTTTTTTTCTTTAAATATTCAGAGATCTCCAATGATTATTGAAAGCTTGACCGCTTGAGGACTTCACACCAAGTGTAAAAAGATGACTACCTAATACAAGGTAAATAGGCAAGGGATGTGTGTGTGTGTACTCGCTCAACAATTTAGGACAAGGAGTTACACTCCCCACTCATATAGGCAACGGTCACATTTCATCTCTAGTTTACTCAAGACTAAGCACACCCAAATGGATAACTTTATATGGGTCTGCAAGGACTAGACCACTAGCCTTGAGAACATAATTGAACTGTATACAGCTAATAAGCCAAAATGCTCAAAACCAAATGTACTTAAAGTATTAATTCCTCCAATCATTATAACCTGTTCATTTAATTCTGTCCAGATGTAAATGACATGAAATGGCGAGTAACAATAAGACTTTTCAGGAATAGACAAGCAAAACATGATAAACTGTAAAAAAGCCTTGCCAATTCCAACTAGTTGAAGGAATTGAATAGCCTTGTTAGGTAAGAATGTCTAAAATTACAGATGCAAAACTGTCAAAAGGAGACAATAAATCATAATTCCAACGATTACCTGATAATAAAACTAAACCATCAGCAGCTACCCTCGCTAATTCTGGAACAGTCGTGTTTAGGTATTTGGGTGACAAGTAATCCAAAGCATCTGACACAATGACAAGAGAGAATGACTTTGCCCTGTACGGAAGAGGAAACTTGATATCAGCTACACGCACAGTGCCTTTGTGTACAAGACTCTTGCAGTTGCCATCGACATCATCTAACTCGTATGGCTCAACACCCCAGGCTTCAGTATCTTCTTCTTTTAATAGTTGAGAGATCACTGAGCAGGTGTCGGGGCCCACATGCAAAAAAAAAAACATACTAGTGATTAGTTTGGTGAATATTAGAATAGAAACAATAAAAGTCAGTAGCCCCTAAAAGTAAGCCAGATGTCCATATTAATAGCAGCCAAATATATGTATGCACTTAATAAGATTTTTTTTTTTAACCACAAAAGCATAAATTTGTTTGAAGAAAATTTAGATAATTGGGATATCAAGTCCTTCCGAAAAAATTGCAAATTTCCAGTATGAACATTTGCCACGAAAGATTTTCACCATTCTTACAAACAATGGACAAAAAAATTGCCTGCTTCAAAGCGACCACTAATGCGACGACCAAGCCACCGTGTTGCAGTTTAATCGTTATATGCAAAAGAAATTAAACCCTTTCTAACTGCATATGTTTCCTAATCTTAATTAAGAAAAAGAAACTTCAGAATTAAATAGGTTGAATGAGGTTTACTTTAATACGTGCTGCGACTATTATCAAAAACTAATACGAAGAAGTTTCCATTCCATGATGTAACTTCATTTCAAAATGCAGCTATATAAAAAGTTATTGATGGCAAAAACCATGATATGACAATTATGATAAGCAATCCAGATTTGGTATTTTGTTTTGAAAATTAAAGTTACCATCGAGTCTATTTAAAGCTGCTATATCACCACTCCTTCCACCTGTCACGAAACATGAAAAGTATATGGTAAGTTTTCATTAAAACCACACATCAAAAGTAATGGTGCATCGTCACCAAATAGAAAGCTATGTTATGTTGCCTAGATTTCCTAGTTCCTACCACATCAAGAAAAATCTGGCAAAAAATAACATGTGGTTAAAAAAGAATGAATTCAGCTGGTGAATGTTCATTTGATATAAATATGCTAATTCACAGAACAACTACATACCTGAACCACGGTATATGTAACCAATTATCAGCAGTGCTCCCTGAAATATCACAAAAGGTGTGATATCAATTTTCTCATTGGTGAACCAAAGCCCAACAATATAATGTGTTTAATACTGACAGAAACGAAAATAATGAAGCCGAACAATTTAGCAGTGTCAGGTAACCATGTTTTTCATTTTTCATCAGAAAAGTACCAACTGTCAGCATAATCGTGGTGTGAGACTGTGTATTCCTGCACGTGTGCTCTTGAGTGTAAGAGAGTTTGCAAAAAAAAAAGTTCACTGGCTTACCACTACCACAAGCCCTATTGATAATAAAGGAGATGGGCGTGATTTGGGATGTAATGAACCCATAAAAGGGAGGCTCCCACTGTCTGCAAAGCGACGAGCAGTATTTACCCTTCTAGACATTGTTGTCCAGTTATTATGAGCCAGAAAGACCTGGGATTGATTGCAATAGAAAATAAGATATTTCTGAAGCAATAAAGGCTCTCTTTAGACATATATGAAGTACAATTAGCTCATAAAAGTAAATATCATCAATGCCGGCCCTACCAGCATACAAGCCGATTAACAAACCTTTGAGGGCTCATTGTGATCCAACATCACAGCCAGAGAGAAATCAGAGACATTTAATCCTATGAGCCCATACACCCAGTACAGACATACATTAGACAGCCTAAAATGAAGCCAAGCCCGCTCATAGCAACTAGTTAGCAATATAAGTTAATGTAACACAGATTTTGTTCCTTAGGTGAACTCTCCTTCTTGGTTCATCTAAAACACCCATCGCTGAAGTATCTATCCTAACCATCTTCAACCTGATAGTTAATTCTACCTCTTAACCGTCTTAGTCGCATAGATCTTTGATGCAGCAATGAAACCGTACATTCCTATACTAATTTCCATAAACCATTTCAAATTATATAGCTCAAAATTCGCTAAAATCATCTGAAAACCAATTCATGCTCCAGATCCATACAAAGTAAAGAAGTATCACAAAATCGTTAGTCAAAAAATCAAAGAATTAAAAAAATCTTGTATAAAAGTTACCTGAAATAGTAAGCTCGGAAATGCTGTGTATGAGAGATTGAAATTGGATCTGGATCTAAACTCAAATGAACATCAAAAGGCCCTCGTATTTAATTGGATAAATAGTCATTTAATTATTCATTTATTGATGCCACTTTTCGGAGAGTGATGATTTTCCGTCTTTGCTCCAAAAATAATTAATTATTCTGTAAATAGTAAGCCAGATTTCTGTACGTTATATATGATTTCAATTTACCTGCAAATGGCGTTCATTAATTTGATTAATTTTCAGTGGAAAAGTGAACGTCGGCAGCGACGTTGTGTTTGAACATGGAAAATGGGACAAACTTTGTCGGCATGTATTTTACCAATGTTAATCCAGATTTCAGTTGTCGGTGAAAGTACTTTATTAGTACCATACAATAGTTACAGCTTGTTTGGCAGGAATTTTAATTCAATTAAAATCAAATTTTTTATCGTTATTTTATTATTTCAATCGTCATTTTTGAATAATTTTCTCATAGATATGATTCACTTTATCTTTAACGGTCAAAAAATCAATTATCAAAATTTCTATCAAACAAACACTAACTTTCAAAGTGTTGAGTTAATTTAAAACAAAAAAAAAAGAAAAAGAAAAGAGCAGCGCTACTCTGCTAGAATTTTTTTTTACAGAGGCTCAACAAGCCTCTCACAGTGGAGGAGGTTAGCATTTTTTGAGCAATTTTTAATTATATGGGTACAACGTGAGACCCACACTCACATGTGAGTGCCCTGTGCACTACCTCTGAAAACCGACCCTATACGTCTGATTTATTCCAAAAAAAAAAAAAAAAGCTTTGAAGATTACAGTTAACAAAATAAGTAATTGAGAAGTAAGTTATCATTTATTAGCACAACCAAAAAAAAAAAGTCCTTAAAAAAGTGTTCGAAACTTTTCAAAAGAAATCTTTAGAAGTCTAATTCATTAGTATAAATTTTGAGCATTTAAAGCATGTCTAGATAAGATTAAGTGTATGTTTAGCAAAGTTTAATATAATTTAAGTTGGTTACACACTTACACTTTTTATCCAGACATTATATAAAATTATAATTTATTACTCATTTTTTATTCACACATTACTTAAATTTTAAAGTACTCTGAATAAGCACCAAACCATTCAAGCCAAACTGATTAGTATAGTGGAGTAGAGGGGGATAGATGAACTCGACCTCAATGAGATCGAATTGATTGTTTCCAGGGCCAAACCTGGCCAATCAAGTCAACCTATTTCATTTTGACTTCAAATTCTGGTCTCGTGATTGTTTGTTAATGGATTATCATGATAATTGATACATAAGTATTTGCATGGGCGGGTCAGGGCGGGTCAAGTGACCCACAATTTATTATTATTATTTTTTTTTTTTAAACAGATCTGTGGTTCTTTCCTTTACGGCTTACGTCAACGCGCTTTATTACGGGATCTAAAATGAAATCAAAATATTACAATATTAATATCATTTAGAAGTACTCACGGTCTAACTGTCCGCTTATTAGTAGTCCATGAAACGGTCAATCGTAGCAAAAGTTACAGCACGTCAAAGTAGTTCATTTCAAACTAATATTTTGAGAAATTTCGATAATACGCTAATTTTAAAAATTTCTAGACGTTCATACGCTTGTCGAATCCAGAAATCGCCTATGTTAACTAGAAGTTCGTTACAAGAACTACATCACAATCATCGAATAATTCAAACTAATATTAAAAATAGTTAAACATGTGTCAAACATAGATAAAAGAGACGTCTAACTCGTCTTTGAAATTCTTAATTATTTCATTAATGTTTATTATTTTTGCACATCAAATTTATCAATATAATTTACAACATTTTATTGGCAAATTTTCCTTGGGTTAAGACGAAAAAAATTTTAGGATCATTATAAATGTAACTTGAACTTCGTTGACTTCCTAGATTAAATTTGAATTTTATTTCAATTCATGTACTTCCTGCATTCAACTTGATTTACTCATTGCCACTTCAACATTTGTCAACGAGGTGATAAACAAAATTATACAAATAGTAAAATTCATTTTACAATATTAATAATGAGATAATTATATGACGTTTTCAAAGTATCAAGATGAATAGACAACAATTATATTAGTGTTTTGACTTATTTTTATTAATATTATGTTGTTTAAAAAAATATATTTTAATTTTTGATCCCACGGAAAAAAAAAAAAAAAGTCTCGGTCCATTCCTGAATATTGGATCACCATTTAAACATATTAATGGCTTATTTTACTTTCGAGAGGTAGAAAATAAGTGTTGGACGTGTGAATAAATGACATAAAATTCTATCTAAGGTAGGAATATATTTCTATACTTTATGCAATCATTACATGATATTCTTGAATTGTTGTGCACTTTGGTATGTTCTAATTCTCGATAGGAATATTTGATAGTCTTATATGGAAGTACGTCCAACTTTACTCCAAGGAATCTTAGATAAATGAGGATCGCCGAATGTCACAAAGATCGTAAATTTAAATTGAGAACAAGAATTGGAGAGTTAATAGATTAATGGGTGGAGTCAAAATCCTAGTATTTTAATCATCCTCTAATGTCACCATTAGATAATTGTAGCCTATTTTCATAAAGTAGTGATTTAGAATAAATAATAAATTTATCAATATTTGAAACCTATATGCACAATAGAATATTTTTTATGTAAATTCAAAAAAATTTCTTAATTATTAACCACCCATCTTTCAGAAAAATCACTATTCTAAAACTCATTTACCTAAAAGAACTCCTTTTAATTTGGACTAAATTCGCAATCCTCGTGGCAACCTAAATTGATTAATCTTTTTACTTGTTTATGATATCGCGAATTGCAGTTCTATCCCAACAACTTGAAACGAAATAGAAAGAACGCACACCTGAGCATCAAAATAATGTTGCATTAGAGGCAGAAATTGACAGCCTATGCCCTCTAAATTACTCATTTGACAGGGGAACTTCCGCAATGTGTTGGCCAAAACATATATATTTCAGAAAGCATTGGATTTCTTCTTGATATCTTCCCCAACTTCAAGGATGAGGCAATCTTTTTACTTGTTCCTTCTGCTGCTGGAACATGATCTTCAAAATCAATTGCTGAAAACTTCTCTTCTACGTAAGTTGATGCAAATAATTGACTCTATGCTTTAGCATTGGGTTCTGAGAAAGGCACTATGGTCCAAATCGATGTTCAATGGGAGCAGATGATTCAGTTTCGTCTCTTAGTCTTAGCTAATCTTTCTTTCTGTCTAGCATGAAGTTAGCACCTGCTGAAAGATGAACATGTATCATATTTTGGAGTCAAAAACCTCAAAATAAAAGTTTATACATTGTTGTATCACAATTCTACATATTTATGTGTGTCGGGGTGCTTCTTGCGTGCGTCGTGTATGAAAAACTCATTTTCAAAATGGAACATTTGACGTTCCCCATTTGGTGCGTATGGGTTCTAGTTAGATGGTTGATAATGACAGTTTTAGCAATCGCCGAGTAGAAACCAAAACCACAAAATCGTGTTATAGAAGACAAATAGACTCTTATCTTGGTTAAAACGAGCAGGTGCAGCTTAACGATCAATCACATAAGCAGAGCCATCAAATATCTTTGGCCTAACTTGATGTTCAAATAATCCTCGAGGATATCAAGTAACTTGGCCCAGATGTCTGGGTTGGCTGTTTCCTACAAAATGAATCTAGACATCTAGATCCAGCTCGTCATTGGGCGATACTGGCCTAACGGCTGCCCGACTGTCAGGAGTTGTTTAGATGAATTTTTTTAATTTTGCTAAAAAAATTATAGATATATCAAAGATTGTAAAAATTTATCTACCAATGTTAAAAATAAGTTTTGACGATTAAAACAAGTTACTAATTCAACGAAAACGAAATTAATAATACGTAAATATATTTACTGATTGAAAGTGCTGGCTAAAGATAATATTTTTTCTGAGCATTTGATAAATTTATGAGATTTTAAGGTTAAAGCAGATAAAAAAAAATGAAACAATTTATGTATGTGAAGTAAACAGATAAAAAAGTGATTTGGTTTTGAAATTTGAAGTATGAAGTGTTTGGAACTCTTTGTAACTTAAAATGGTATAATAGTCTTTTAAACAATACTATTTTTTTGTAATCACGTAACAACATAAGCGTAATTTTGTCTTTTACACATTAAACGGCCATTGTGGTGAATGGCAAAAAAAATTTGGTCAAAGTCAAAAATGGTATGTACGACTTGGCCTCTTTAAAAAGTACCCGTAAAAGTATCAAGGACTCTATGACCTTCTTTATATAAGATCTTAATCATAGAATGTGTTAGAATCACTCAACCAATTTGATAGGAGCAAACCAGCTGAATCGTGAAGCGAGGAAGCACATTTCCTGATTTTTAGGAGTGGGAATATAAGTTGTTATCCACCTGTTGGAACCTTGTTGGTAGAACTAGAATATTCCTTTTTGTATGTATTTGCTTATATTGTATTTTGTGTGTATATATACAGTGAACGAAAAGGAATGAAAAGAGCAGAAAATTAATACTCAAACTATCTTTATTTTTTGCTTGGTATCAGAGCCTCTATGGCTAACACCGATACAGAGAGCCAATCTGCTCCAGCTGAGTCGAGCACCATACCATCCACTGAAAGTGTAGTGAATAAGGTTTCACCATTTGGGATGAATCTCACCCAAGCACCATCAGTGAAACTGGACAAGAATAATTTCTTGTTGTGGAAAAACATGATTATGCCTATAATCAAAGGACATAATCTGGAAGGCTACCTGTTGGGGACAAAGCCATGTCCACCAAAGTTCCTAGTTGCACAAACCACCACTGCTAGAGAAGTAGCAGTAGAGATGGCTCAGAACCCTGAGTATAACAGGTGGATTTCAGCTGACCGACTATTAATGGGTTGGTTGTACTCATCCATGACTCCAGAAATAGCTATGAGAGTTATGGGATGTACCAGTTCGAGCAGTTATGGACTGCAATAGAAGAAAGCTATGGCATACTGAACAAATCAAGAGTCGTCTTCTTCACTAGAGAATTGCAGAGGACAAGGAAAGGCTCCTTGACCATGGATCAATATCTTGCTACTATAAAACAGCTAGCTGATAACTTGCAAATAGCTGGAAAGACCATTGATCATAGTGATCTTGTTACTCAAGTTCTGTCAGGACTTGATGAAGAATATACTCCCATTGTGGTGCAAATTAACATTAGGGATAACATATCCTGGCATGAACTATCATCAGTGCTAATGACCTTTGAAAGCAAACTTGAGTATTTAAGTCAAGTTAGGAACAACTTTGCATCAATAAACATTGGACAGTCAAGTGTA